TTTCATCAGTCATCACATGTTTATTTTTTTTAATGTTGAGTCATGTTTTATTCTTTCACTCTCGTCAACTTATGTTTATTTTTTTAATGTTGAGGCATAACATGTTTTATTCTTTCACTCTAGTCATCACATGTTTATTTTTTTTAATGTTGAGTCATGTTTTATTCTTTCACTCTCGTCAACTTGTTTATTTTTTTAATGTTGAGTCATAACATGTTTTATTCTTTCACTCTAGTCATCACATGTTTATTTTTTTTAATGTTGAGTCATAACATGTTTTATTTTTTCACTCTAGTCATCACGTTTATTTTTTTTAATGTTGAGTCATGTTTTATTCTTTCACTCTAGTCATCACATGTTTATTTTTTTTAATGTTGAGTCATGTTTTATTCTTTCACTCTAGTCATGACATGTTTATTTTTTTATGTTGAGTCATAATATGTTTTATTCCTTCACTCTAGTCATCACATGTTTATTTTTTTAATGTTGAGTCATAACATGTTTTATTCCTTCACTCTAGTCATCACATGTTTATTTTTTTAATGTTGAGTCATAACATGTTTATTTTTTTCACTGTTGAGTCACCTCATGTTTGTTTCTTTCACTGTTGCATGTTTATTTCTTTTATTGTTGAGTCACCTCATGTTTGTTTCTTCCACTGTTGAGTCACCTCATGTTTGTTTCTTCCACTGTTGAGTCACCTCATGTTTGTTTCTTTCACTGTTGCATGTTTGTTTCTTCCACTGTTGAGTCACCTCATGTTTGTTTCTTCCACTGTTGAGTCACCTCATGTTTGTTTCTTTCACTGTTGCATGTTTATTTCTTTTATTGTTGAGTCATCACATGTTTGTTTGTTTCTTTCACTCTTTAGTTATCATATGTTTGTTTCCATCACTGTAAATGTTAATAAATATACATACATGATTTCTTATTTGTAGGAGTGGAACTACAAAACTCTACTGTTAGTTTTGAAGATATTGGTGGCAATGAACACAATATACAGGTTGGTTACAGTTTCGCTCACTAAGCATTCAAGGTAGCAGCAATAGTTTGTAATAAAGACATATTGCTACCTAAACTATGTAAGATAGCAATGTTTGTATTTTTAGGAAGCTGTGATTGAGTTGAATACTGCTGTGCAGATGTTTTTGTGACTTTATTTGCTTGGTAATACGGTAGAATGTCTTGTAATTGATGAAAACCAAATATTTGTTTCAATTACTGAGCACTGGAATAGTCACAGTTGTTTTGCAACCCAACCAATATGTCTTTTTTATTGCACTTTGATTATGAGTTCATTTAAATAAATTATGAATACATTGGATATATCAACAATAATTCAGAGACATCTTTATTTCTCACTTATTATCTTGCAAACAAACTGTCAACATTATTAAAAGTATGGCATGACTAAACATTAGGCTCAGATTTTGTTTTTTTATCTGTTTTCCAGTTTGAAGTTGTGGACCTTAATGACTTAATCAAACAATGAGACAAAATGTTCTGTATCCAAGCTTTCCAAAAATATGTATGTTCCTATTGTTGAGTAGATCTTACATTGTTTAATTAGACATGTACTAGAATAACATAATATCACTTCAGGGTCTTGCCAATAATAATCACTATCATATTTGCTTTATTAAAAGCACATCTCCAATAGAATTGAACATTTTTGTTGCATGCTACATTATTGTAATGCGTTTTGTTTTAACTTCAGACTTTTGTCAATAAATTGAAATTTGGTACATAGGTGTGTTGGGATAAGCCATATACATATTTAGTTTTAGCACACAATTTGCATAAATTAATCATTTTATAGGTATTCCACATAATAATTCACACAATAGGTATTTTATGTGTATTGAAGATGCACTTCTAATATAATAAATACAGTATTCCTTATTTGTACTTCATGCCTATAATACCCTTAGCACACAGGAGTTTTTCTAAGCTTTCTTTGATATTATTTGTATTTGTTACAGGAAATTTGTAAATTATTGGTACATATGAGACATCCTGAAGTGTATCAACAATT